ATATGCATCCATCACATGCTTACATGCAGCGAAGTGGACGCGGTTCTAAAACCTAGAACAGTAAACTTTTGTATGTTGAACGTTTACTTTGACTACCATAATCCCAATCGCTGGATAATGGCACATTATTAGTAGAAATGTCTGGATATAAAGAGATTCGTTTGGAGTTAATAAAAATTACGAGAAACAGATAAAAAGCTGTGGTTGGCGCCAGTTTATGATTTGTTTATTCTACAAAATTGCGATATAACAATGTATATAACATATATATAAATGGAAAGAAGAGTATAAGGTGACAGTTAGCTGTTGCATGCGGAACCCTTAGCTGAAGGAGCCGTCTGCCTAGAGTATGGATATAGAACCTGACTGGGGACTAGCGAGTAGGAACGGATCCTATATAAAACATAGATGCATTAATTATATACGAATAGTGGAGAATTCCTGCTGTACTATAGATGCTATTGAGCATTTCCTGTTCACATTGTATGAGTTGGTAACGTTTACGAAATTAGGATGTTTGGGCTAACTATGATCCAGGAAGCTTCGTGTCCCACCACCGTAGCTGACTTTAGGTCCCCCCCCCCCCTCATAGCAATAGCGTTTTATTGTGCGCCTTTGTGTGTACTGTGTAAATATGCAATCGTAATCTGTTCTTTGAGTTTTGTTTGAATGCGTAAGGTCATTAAATGTATGTCCTGCTCAGCTCTTCTATGAGGACATCCGCAGAACCTAAATGCGCTCAACTTTGGCTTATATTCTTAGACATAGGTCGGTACACGATACAGATTATGACTGAAAGCGATATTATCTCCTCTTATAGCAATACGGTCTCCTTTCGCTAGAACTGAAACAAAAGTTCAAGTTAAATGTGAGTTAGTAAGAGTGAAGTCAATGCATTAAAATCGGTCACGAATTCTCATGTCCCGCAACCACTGCCATGTAGTGGCATAACTGCACGGACAGAGAAACATACATAAGTCAAAAGAAAAGCCATTAAAAGATAAGGCTAAGCTTTATCTTCTACAAATCTTCTTTTAAAAAATTCTTTCCATGAAACAGTTATTGTTATAGAAGGACCTCAGCTTATTCCAGAAGCGTATAGAATAACAATTTCGATGACTGAGTAGATTAATTTGAAAGCTAAAATATTTTTCAAAAAGTAACTTTTCTGTCATGTATTGCGTGCTTAAATGGGCATTGATGGGTTTAAACCAGTTACTTTATAATCGCAGTTATATTGCACTTATTTAAGCAGTAATATGTCATTAATTTAAATAACTTGACCTTTATCAATGAGAACCATTTTTTAGGAGGAAATTTTTAGGTTTTATTTATATCACCCAAATGTTAAGATACTATCCCATCTTTTGTTGTAGAAAAGAGCCTGGCATTAATGATTATAAAATACACAATTTGAATTTATTAAGCACTTTCGTTCTGGACTTTACAGTAAGACGAAATGTTACAGAGATGAAAGAGCTTTGTCTGAATTTCGATTGTAATCAGTATAATTAATTAACTTAGATATCACATTAGATTCAAGGAACTCAAGATCAAGCTTATTGAAAACATAGCAGGTATACAGATGTCAACTTTAGAAGTATTTTTTAATTACTAATTATATACATTATACAAACATATTGATATAAATTCGAAATATTGTGAGTGTAATAGATACTATAAGGCCTTATGTTCACTTCAATAATGTTTACGAAAATAAAATTGTTTTTGGCTGCCGAGATTTAAGTGATTTTACCCGAAACTTACAAAAAGTTGTCTTGTTAGACGTCTTAACGACAGAGTTGGGTCACTTTTTTCAACTTCAGACGTTTCCGATCGTAGGTCAAGGGACGGGGTTTAGCAACGTGTCTGGGTAGTTGTGTTTTTTGATACTTTTATTTCATCTAAGTGCTGCTTCTCTAAAAAGAAAGCGAAGTTCTTGATCAACACAACTTATCGGACGCAAGATATCACACTCGTATGCTTTATAGAGTAATAAATGCAGCCGTATCTGAATTCCGTATCTGTTTCCATGTTTATTCGTCGGATATATATCGACTCCTTAAAGTGGTCGGATTAGGCTGATTTCTTGACATCATTCGACATATCTTAACGAGCTGAAGAAACGTATTACCCAAAAATTGGTACATTTGAGTGGACATTGTTGAAATCTGTTGACTGTTTTGGTTTTCCTCTATAACAATAGTGTGATAGTGCGTTTCAAATAATGTTTGGAGTGAAGTTCAATTTTCAGTTGATTCAAACTTTCGTTGAAAACCCATAATTAATTTTTAAGGAAAAATGCCGAAACAGTACATGGAACTATTTGTTATTAACAAAAAAAGTTCTAAAGCCTTGATTATGTACTGTAAACGGACGAGCTAAGACATTTTAAATCATCATTAACTTTTTATTGTATTTTCATTCACATTAGTATATATAACGACTCATTACAAAAAAATAAAGATAGAAAACTAGATTGCATAGATTGTATGTAATTATTTGTTGAAAAAAATTTGTGAGTCCCGTGTGTGAAAAATGTGTGAACAGAATCAATAGATGAGTCTACCTTATTAACCGCAACATGCACTCGGCTCATTCGTTCCCTTCAAAGCTAGGCCGACCCTATCCACACGTTCCGGAAACGTAGTCAATCAGCCACCATAAAAGCCCTCTAATAATCCTGTAGAAATGTTTCAAAGGCCAAAATATTACGGGCAAGACAAATCTAGGGTTCGTCGAGCCCCCGGTAATATATAATAGAACAGCCCCCTTTGTACTACCTCATAGAAGAAGTTAGGGAGATAACTGTAGAAAGATAACAGGTTAAGCAGAGCGGGCTAACTGCAGCAAGATAATGGTTAATGTGTACTCGATCTATAGTTTTCGCTAATCTAAATGAATCAATCAGGTTTGTTCAGATACAAAACTAGCAAAGGGTAAAGCCCGTGGATCTCTCTAATAGTAAAACCATGTATTCTTTTACACTATATCCGAAACGAAACAAGTTTCTTAGCAGACGCAAACATACATGTGCCTAAATAACTCCAAATATGCTATTTTAGGAACTTATCGAAGAGTTGCTCAGTCGATGGAGCTTGGACCAATTTTGATTTCTGCGGATCGCTTTGGCAAGTCCATACCGATATTTTCTCGCAAAGATGTCTTTTCTTTCGTTAGAGAACGTGCTCGGTGAAGGGCCCTTGAAACGCGTTCACCGCAAAGGTAAAGCTGATACCTGAAATTACATTTATTATTCAGAACAGGCATATATACTCATACGGGTACGTAGTTTAGCTCTTACAAACTTCATCCTGAGGAGGGAAGCGATGTGAATATTGCCTTTGCAGTCAGCGCCGCCTGCTAAACTTCCGCGAAAAAAATCAATTGGCTACAACTAAAATTTAGTGTTCTTCCACGTCAGTCAATGAAACAGATCTCATATATGCAATAATTGATCATGTTCTCTAATGTGAATGAAAAATACTTGCGGCTAGGTGGCCTTTACTCAGATATAATGATTTCTTTTTAATGAAGGAGTCTTTTCTTGGCCTGTTGAGAATTGAAGTATAAAAAATTATTTTCGACGCAGTACTTTGTTCTGTCTAACTGACAGCTGTCACAACGGCAGGCTGTCGCAAAGCATCGTTTCGTTGGACTCACTGCAGGCTTCTGTCCGGCTTTTTATCGCGGATCAACTTAAAAGCCAACAACAACAACAACAACTAAGTTCAACGAAAACGTCTAGAATAATATAGTGGAAAATTGAATTTTATCTTAAGATATCTTGTCAGCCGTTTGCTGCAAACGGCCGGGCTATGTGTTTGTACGATTTAAGAAATTAGTTGACGTTCTCTGTACAGGTCAGTTCAACGTAGCGCAGGTTTCAAGTGATACCCTTTATTATTATAACGTTTTCAACGTAAATTACCAAAGCGCAAGAGGCGACTCTAGGTCACGATTTATGGAACATCAGAAACCACAATAACAGCAGCAGCGGAAGCTAACGGCGTAAACACTTTTCGAGAGGTCCAGCGATTTGGTGATCTTCGCAAACTCACTGGTTTTCTAGATTTCTTTTTCCTAAACAGAGTAAAGTACCGAATGCCTTGGAAACAATCACGCCCCATCGAAGCACTGAGGCGATCGAAGACAGGTCTCGAATAACTGGAAGCCTCAGCTGCCTTTTCTAACACATTGCACCAGATCGACGGTCGTACGCTGATTCGCTTAGCCCATCGAGTACGTCTAGTGTGAGGAGTAATCTGGATGTCGCATGTCGCTTGATTGAATGTTAACTTGCCACGCCCTACAGCTCTGCTATGGCGGCCTGGTCTGGACCTCGGTACAGATCTAAGAGCGCGTCCAAGCCGGATGTCTCGGATGTTCCGAAACAGAAGCCCTGATCACAGTTTAATGCGCGGCCATAGGCGAGGTAGTGGGGAACGCGGGGGGAAGAAAAGTAGTGAGGACGTTGTAGAGGTTGCGCAGCACTTAACGACTCCGCCTTCTTCCGATCCACTGCTTCCGGGACCGATCCGGAGAACATTAGTTCCTACTGATATCGATGACTCCAAGAGACGCAGTTCGATTGATACAGGACAGGAAGACGATGTAAACATCTGTGAAGAGTACACTGATTGACAACACTGGTGATGTACCTGTAGGTATTTCTATACTGTATAAAAGCCTAAACCTACTTTGAGTGTCAGCATCTATGAGAAAGACTTCTACTACCGCTATTTCCCTCAAAAATGTGTTATTAAGCCCCTTTACAAAAACGACTATATATAGACCATCTACTCGAACGTGTCTTTCCAACAGTCACCCCGTTGTCTACAATCGATTTTATCCACCTACAGATAATGTTAATTTTCTGTTGGTGTACAATACAGTTGTGTACGGTAGTTCAGCGTACGACACTGACACAAATCGCTTCTGCATAGTTTGTTAACATTAGGCTGAATTGGTACTTCCTACACAATATGTTCCCACTGATGGTAAAAGCAGACATCAATTCTTATTTATTGAATTATTTTGTTATTTAGCTAGACGTTCATTTATTTACATGAAAACTTTAAAGAGAAAACAGTCTCTTCTCCTTTCTGTCAATCTCAAACGAAAAGTGCGACAAGCTTCTAATGCTGATTTCGTCGAAATATCAGCGGTGTATGTAATGAACGTGACAGGCTACACGGATACGCGCATCATGTACCAACTTCCCAGTAGCCCTTGGTAGACCCGTTCGAAGTTACCGTAAGGCGCAGTGCAGGCCCACACCACGAATAGACTCTTTCCGACCTGGCAGTACTCTTCTGGTATTTGGAAGGTATAGGCAAACATCTTGCATAAAAGCGTCATTAGGCTGTATACAAGAGCCATTTTCAGCCAGTAGGGTGAGCAATGCCTCGGGGCATCGAGTTCGATACATCGGAATGCGCCTAGGGCAATGATTGTACGCAAAACTGCTTCGGAAGCTTCAACTGGGAACCTTAGGATGATGTAGGCGCAAAAACCGAGCAGGCCATATAATATTCGAACCCGATGCAGTTTGGCGATGGCTTGAAATCGAGAAAACATTTAATCAAGGTATTGTGTTGGGATAAAGGCCAGTAAATCGGTATCATTTAATGTCGTTAAAAAAAATGTACACATTCATTAATCGGTATTACTATGTAATAAGTAAATGAAGGGTAAAAGCGTCATAAACGAAAACGTTCGGATAATATAGAAATACAGCACAAACTTGCCTTCTAGGCGCTCGAATATCTTCCCCAAAATGGATTCCTCATACACAATTTGCATGAGATTATCATAGAGCCGTTCACGAAACGACGCTTCGTGCAGTCGCATGGAGTTGACCCTCTCAGGTCTCACTCTGTCGATTTTGTATCGCGTTGACATTTGTCTGACAGGCAACGTTGTTTTCAGTAATGAACAATAGCTGAATTCGCACGCTTCGTGCGTCTTTTCCAACGATCACTTCTATTGCATAGAAACCTTTTAGTTAACCTATGACGGAACGAACTACCATATGTATGTATATAGGTATAGTTGCTCGAAGCACTCAATTACAGAATGCACCAAAGGTAGCGGCACGAATACTCCAAATTGTTTCAACAAAGGGAACCACAAATTGCAACACCCATTGTACTACCGAAGCAGCGTTCGAAACGGGCCCTAGAGATTTGAGAGTCGACATTCAGGCCATATTGATTATGTGAAGCCGTTAGCGATAATAAATCTTCACCCTGTACAGGACACTAGGTCTATCGCGATACCATTGTAGTCGAGTAGTTGTGCATGTGATGCTTCTTAGCTTCGCTAGGGGTGAGCACCGAGCGTTGCTTAACGGTATTTCTCACATCAGAAATGCCAGCTTACTAGTTTATCGAAAAGTACAGCTTATTGTGGCTTAAATGTGATGTAGTAGGATTGCCTAGTTTAAGCAAAATATTAAATTGACTCCCGGATAAGTTACTTTTTCTTAATGTAAGCGTTCCCAAAAACTTCTTTCTGGAGAAATGATTTTCGATGTTGCACCAGTTTTCCTTTGATGTCAGGATAGGGTTCCCTGGTTCGAGCGCGCTGTGTAACATGCGAATAGCTAGCACAGTAAAGATATTAAAAATAATCAATAAATTTCCAGTAAGCCTGCTGGCAGATAGTGCAGACACGCAACTAGTTAGGCTGGTATAAGTTATAATTACTGTAACAGCCTTTTTTAATGATATCACGTTTCGAAACAGATTTAAAAAAAAAAGGCTCTATTAACGTAAACAATGGACCTGTAGCAAGGTATACAGATGATATTAATAATTCGCCTAAACGTGTGTCCGTAGGTGATACCCTCTGCTTGTCTCTTGATTTTTTAGTCTGTTTGAAATCGTGGCGTAGAAAGTGAAAATGGCCGATGCCGGTCTCGTAACAGAAAAATCGTCCTTAAAAGTAGGTGACTAACCGTAAAGGCAATCGAGCCTGCAGTGGGAAAGGCAACGAATTGATTAGTGTGCCTTCGGTTACGTTCAGTGATACCCATAGTAGCAGATATCGAAAAATCGACATAGTGCCAGAGTGATTAGGCAGGTACAGTCGAAGAGTGTTCGAATCAAAATCAGGTCCTTCGTGAAAAAATTTCCTTCCAACAATCCTTATGGATCTCTTTCACGCCTCCCTGTATGGTAGTATCCAACAAACTTGCAAAGAACGTCCTTCGGAGCGAGTGTTCTTTGCAAGTCGCTAACACACTATTAGGCTAACAGGAAATCTTGATAAGTTGATCGGAAGTCGTCAAAATTTCGAAGTGTTGAACCCATTCAGAAGGCAGTAAAGATTAACGACATTAAAGAATCTTTATATGATAAAGTGTCGAACGTCCTCGGTGGGGCTTTCAGCGGAAAGTTTTCCATATGGGTTAGCACAGCATTGGCGGTTTCGCCTCGTGTCACTACAATAAACAGACGCATCTGGAAGAATTGAACAGCAAAAAAAGCCATGCCAAAACAAAAGTCGAAGAATTTGAGGAAGTTCTAAAAGCCTTGGCGGATACGTTATTTGTTTTGAATCAATACCAACTGGCAAGTCGAGTATCGTGAAAAACCAACGGCTGAAATCCAAGTGATTATATTGTTATTACCAACGATAATTGAAGACAACGATTCTACAATGATTAGGAATTTCTGCACACTGCAAAGCTTTCGGCAATCATATCAGAGGCCATGCTGAGATGAATGATTAAGATAGTAAAAAAAATATGCTGTGGTGGCGCGTTGAAAACTAGTAGAGTTCTGTTGGCCTGGTGAAGATCAGCTTCATATATTGGTAAACACGGCCATAGTAAGTGTAACTAACTAGAAACTATCGTGAAGAGACATAGCAGTTATTTGATGTTTGACGGTGAACAGAGTGAAAAGCCAAATAGGTTATATTTTGTCATGTGGTTTTGCTTGGACTTGTGTCAACGTAACAAGCCTATTAATCAGTAAAAAGTTCTTTCAATTAATTCAAGTTATTTACTTGACCCTATCGTCATCTGAATGCGTGTACATGCTGCGTAACACCGTAGATGGCGTGAAGACATCTTAGATTTCTATTCTTTAATAATCGTCCTTTATTACGGCCAAACAGTTCGATAGCTTTGCTGCAATAGAAGGCCTTCGATTAAGGCAAAACCGTAAACGTTTTTCTGCAATGCATTTGTTAGGGTGATTTTCGTCAGCAAGATTTATTGCACTTAACACATAGAAGGCGTGATTTTTGATCTACGGATCGTCTTATAATTTTGAAATTTACCACTGTTTGTTTGTTATACACCTGGGTCTCTGTAAAACCCTTAACGATTCGCCGAATTAGCTATTTCACAGTAACGCTACGTATGACCTCAAAGCTGGGTTCTGTAGCAAATCTTCATTAGCCGGTTCATCATGTACCGGTTTTTAAATCTTTAGAGGCTGAATAAAAATTCTTCACTTTCATCATTCGTTTTGTGCCGTAGCGACGATAGTAAACGCTGAAATATATCCACATTCATTAAAAGTGATCATAGTCACGTGCAATTATGACCGAAGATCAGCGAAGTAAAGCGACTGCACGCTTAACGCAATTGCAGACATCGCGATGATGAAGTTCACCGATCTGAGGACAGTTCTGTCAAAGGTACAATTTACGTTAGAACGTAGAAACGTTTCAATTGTCAATCAACAACTCTCGAATCTGTTTCTTATCATGTACGTGCCTGATCGAATCTGTGATTGAGCCATAGCCGATCCTGCAATCGAACAACCTATCCCAGTTAAATCAGTGACTGTCATGAAATATTAAGCGTTTATGTATCGGCATGTTAACGTTACTGAAAACAAGATTCGCTAAATCTGTCAGCAGGACCTATTATTTTCGAACGCTTCAGTCCCTAAGTGTCGCATGCATTATCAACAAAAGCTGCAGAAACTTTTGTCTCCTAACTGGGGCTCAGCTAGATAATGCGTCCATCCAAAACGACGCACGAAACAGGAACAGAGAATGAATGCTTCACTGCGGCGCCACACGAAAACGATTAGGAAGATTTTGCCAAAATGACTGATACGCTGTTAACCGTCTTTTGTCAACTAAGGCTTGTCAAATGTTGGCATTGTAAACGTCAGCATACATAGTAACGGTTCGGAGAGAGATACTGTATATGGAGACGGATTGAGATAGTTTGATACTCTTCCAAACGAAGAATGCAGGTGGCGACTTGAATCGAGCGGCTGAGCAGCCCTTTTAACGCAAACGATTTGGTTTTTCAGGCCTGAAAGGGACGGATAGGTAATGATTATCAGAAATTACTTGCGCATCAAAAAATGTGATAAGCTCTACAGTAGATATACGTTTAATCAGCTTATGCCACTAAGAAAAGGGGATTGAAGGTTATGTCGGTAAATTTAAATTCATTTACTTATTAGGCGCATATTTTATTATAATATAGGCTACGCGATATGCGTGACAGCAGATCTGAGTACAGCTGAGTGACGAAACGAAGGTTTGGACGTTCTAGCCCGATACAGACGTTTCATTTATGTACGGATCCTGAGATATCGACATCAAGTTATTAATCTTGGTGGTAAAAAAATTATAGATTAGAGTTAATTATAGAATTAAAGACCCCCGTACTATTACGTCTTTCGAGAGAAATTCCAAAACAGAAGATCGAAGATCTGGTACAAAAGAGGAACTAACTAGGTATTCGATTATCCCTGCTAGATAGTGCCAGTTTTAAATTCGGAATGTCCGATCCAAGGAACTCTATTGTGGGCATCAGAGAAAATTCCTTCTGCATATTACTATAGAGAGCTTTGCTTCTGCTTTTTAAAAGTACACGTTAAGTACGTCAACCAAGTAAGGTCGTACATTAACTATTTGAAACTTATTGAATGAATGAGACTCAGCAGGGTAAACGTTCTTCTTAATTCTAAAGGCGGCAACTGTGTATTGGGATAAATCTATACTACTCGTATGCTGAATCTCATAAACATATATATGTACATATGTATATGTATACGTTCAAATTTACACTCATTAACAGTTTATAACGCTTATTTATTTATCTCTATACGTGTAATATCAGTATCCATATCAGGGTCCTGAAAAAACTGCAATTTACTATCTGTAGCTGCAGAGGTGACAGGACCAGCTGGCCACGCTCAAGGCCAAGAGGGAGACATCATTGGAGTAAGCGGGACGCAGCGCTAATCTGCAATGATGCTTTCTTTTTCTCGATTTATTTACTGCCCGGAAGTAACCCGGTACGACTAACGTAGGAGTGGCCGGTAGGTGGCAGGTCGACGTAGAAAAGAGCCTCAAGGCTTTGATAGAGTCTGCAATATAGCGAAGATGAGAAGTAGGTTACAACAGGCGACGACGGACAGGCGACGAAGGCGAAGGCCGAGTGGCAGATGTTGGATGTCTGGAGATTCATCCGGTCATAGTAAGCCGGCAAAGGATGCAGGACCAGGAGCAGTTTATTGGCACATATGTCATCCTTATCCACTTCTAACGGTGAACGAAAAATCACTCACGACGAGCTGGGCGGTTGCTGCGAAGGAGCAACACGCGGTCGATGGAAACACAACTGGATCAGCTCAATCTTGCGCATCTTCTTTTACGATCTACTGGCTTTATCGAAGAAGAAAAAATGTTGAAGACAGGGCTGCAAACTGAATTGATTTGAATAAAATTTTCAACGATAAAAAAGCGGAATTCGTGATACAGGAGAAAAGGTAATATTTAGCAAATAGTAATTTTAAGAAGGAGTCCAGCTGTACCGTACTCAGGAGACGGCCTGCACATCCCCCACGCATAATACCTATTGTTTACAAAATCATTCCGCGGAGGAGTTTTTGAAACGACGATATATTTGTTATGCGAAATAATGATTAGTAATATTTGATTTTTAACACTCGGTAGATACAGACAGTTTGC